TTTATGAGAATCAAGCCAGTCTGGTTGCCATGTACACTATATGAGAATTAAGCCAGTCTGGTTGCCATGTACACTATATGAGAATCAAGCCAGTCTGGTTGCCATGTACACTATATGAGAATCAAGCCAGTCTGTTTGCCATGTACACTATATGAGAATCAAGCCAGTCTGGTGGCCATGTACACTATATGAGAATCAAGCCAGTCTGGTTGCTATGTACACTATATGAGAATCAAGCCAGTCTGGTTGCCATGTACACTATATGAGAATCAAGCCAGTCTGGCTGCCATGTACACTATATGAGAATCAAGCCAGTCTGGTGGCCATGTACACTATATGAGAATCAAGCCAGTCTGGTTGCCATGTACACTATATGAGAATCAAGCCAGTCTGGTTGCCATGTACACTATATGAGAATCAAGCCAGTCTGGCTGCCATGTACACTATATAAGAATCAAGCCAGTCTGGTGGCCATGTACACTATATGAGAATCAAGCCAGTCTGTTTGCCATTCACATTATATCAGAAATCGATGTAGTCTGGTTGCTATGTACTTTATATGAGAATCGATCAAGTCCGGTTGCCATGCACATTATATGAATAATCAAGCCATGCACATTGTATGAATATCAAACCAATCTGGTTGCCATGCACAGCATCAATTAGTTCTGTAAAAATAGTCGTTTAAAGGTATTTCTATTTTTAGCTTTAGCTGCCCCTAAAAGGAGCCAATCAAATAATCGAGCCAGTCTGGTTGCCATGTTCACTATATGATAATCGAGCCAGTCTGGTTGCCATGTACACTATATGAGAATTGAGCTAGTCTGGTTGCCATGTACACTATATGAGAATCAAGCCAGTCTGGTTGCCATGTACACTATATGAGAATCAAGCCAGTCTGGTTGCCATGTACACTATATGAGAATCAAGCCAGTCTGGCTGCCATGTACACTATATAAGAATCAAGCCAGTCTGGTGGCCATGTACACTATATGAGAATCAAGCCAGTCTGTTTGCCATTCACATTATATCAGAAATCGATGTAGTCTGGTTGCTATGTACTTTATATGAGAATCGATCAAGTCCGGTTGCCATGCACATTATATGAATAATCAAGCCATGCACATTGTATGAATATCAAACCAATCTGGTTGCCATGCACAGCATCAATTAGTTCTGTAAAAATAGTCGTTTAAAGGTATTTCTATTTTTAGCTTTAGCTGCCCCTAAAAGGAGCCAATCAAATTAATATGAGCATACTTGATAAAACACTACCCAAGAATGCTACAGACAAAGTTTGGTGATAATCCATCCATTAATTATGTAGAAGATGTTTAAAGGCTTTTTCATGTTTTAGCACTAAAACCCCCTTAAAGGGGCCAATCAGTTAAGTATGAGCAAATTTGATTAAAAACTACCAAAGAATGCTACAGACAAAGTTTGGTGATCATCCATCAATAAGTTCTGAAGAAGTAGAAGATGTTTAAAGGTTTCTCTATGTTTAGCTCTGTTGACCTCTAAAAGGGGCCAATTGAAATGACAAGAGCACATTCAAGTCTGACTGTCACAAGGATGCTCCAGACCAAATTTAAAGTAAATCTGCCCAGTAGTTTCAGAGAAGAAAACGATTATTGAAGCATGACGACGGACGCCGGAGCATCCCCTTTGATACAAATAGCTCACCCTGAACCTGCGGTTCTGGTGAGTTAATAAATCGGTAATATCGGATATTATCGTAAAATACTGCAGCGCTATTCCAATCTACGTTTGGTACTTCTATCTTGTGAAGTGGTGTTTTCCTCTATGACGTCAATATTTGAGAAAATACCAATATGGCGGCTCGCACACATGTCCCTTAATCCTTATTGATGGACATGTATGAGCATTTCCAAAAATGCTTGGAATCGCCGTTAGCCTCGAATATAGAAATAAAATTTCATATCTTTCTTAATACCCTTATTTTATTTCTTCAACACATAAAGCCAACAAAAGTTGTTGTTTTACTCTACCATTCCGTTCAAGTCAAAATATTTTGACGGGCTAAGCTAGATTCTAATATACATTTGTATTTTTGTTCTGTGTCAGAATCTGGGAGATAAATACAACAATGACTTAACGCGTAGTACAATTAGTTGAACTACATGCACTACTTAATAAGTGCAAAAATAATTAGCTACTTGCATAATTACAACAGTTACTTGCTGCACATTAAAATTAATATCTACGAGTGTTTTAATTGCTGCATTCCATAAATGGAATTTACGTTGTACATGTAAACTCCGACGACTGATTTGCGAATTTTTTACACAGACTAAAACTGGCCTGCTATCTTATAGGTATGACTCAATAAAAACTCTCATGATATTAAACTTGCCCGGATGAAGGCATTAATTAAGTTTTTTTTTATTGACTTTTTTTATTAATTTCAGTGCCAGTTTGGAATGGAACAAAATTCAATCTTATTTAGACTACATTCTCAAATCAGAAAGGACATGTAGCACAAAATATTGCAATTTGAGGTGCCTATCCTGCAAAAGCCTAAAGACTTGTACTGAGTTCGTAAACTGATAATGGTATTTTTTAGTTCTTTAAATAAAATAGAGATAAATAGAATCCCAAAAGAAAGCCTAACACGGCAAAATTGAAAATGTTGCAAGCTCGGTTTGATTAAGCCTGTTCATAGACGGTACTGGAAAGTGCAAGTTACCGTCCACGCCCCCTAGCAACGGCTTAGGCAGAATTCAACATTAAACATGAACTGGTACAATTTGGAATTTTGAAACATCCGCAAATGTGTTCATATGGCGGTTATCATGGAACCTTCAATGTGACACGTAAGTAACCCAACAAACGTGGCGGTTGAACGAGTCCATTTACGCATCTTTTGTTATAAATACGGTTTTATACTTAATATGTAAATATTATTGCCCTGAACTTGCTAAACTTCCGGTTAAAGCAGGTTAAAAAACTAAAATTCAGATCTTCTTATTTCTTTTATGTAGATCTGATGTGGATCGTATATTTTTCGCCTTCTTTATAAATCGGATTTCCCGAGAAAACTATTTTTAGCCATGCAATTAAACCGGCTTTTACATTGGCATAAGAGGAAATATCAACATTCTGTTATCCGTGGATAGATTGTTAATTTTTTGTTAGAAAAGAAAAGTTTGAAGTAATGTTTAACAAAGTAAACTTGAAAAAGCCAATTTTTAAGGAGCAACACTGTTTTGCCAGTTTCCTGCCAGCAATATGGACACCATGTTTGTTCTCGAAATCGTAAAAATTACCTACTCGTCATTGGGTTTCTCAGGTTTAACATTTAAAACGTCATCGCTTTCAAAATTATGAAAACTCGCCGATGGTTGGCTGTTTGAAAGGTCACCAGACATGACTTCGTATTTGGTAGCTTTTAGATCTAAAAGCGGAGTGTTAGTTAGAACTAATGACTAACGATTTGAATACTTAAAAAGTGCACCGAAATTAAAAAAAGCTTTTGAGAAATAAACGTAAAAGCATTAGGTTAACAATAACATTTTATGTCAAACATTATGTTTGGCTGAATAATAAAATTTCTATGTACCCAGGTTCTGTATATACAGTAAAGAAGTTTACCTAGTCGATCAAATGTATTTATAATTAAAAAAGATAAAATTCTTTACTTATTTTCAAATAGGGAAGTAACTGAAGTATGAAATGTAACCAAATTCTACGCAGTGGTTTCCCGTTGCTACGTTACGTCAAGCGTAACCCAAACGTTTCATGCTACATGCAAATCCTACTTGGATTTGAGGTACTCTTATGTAAGGGGAAATTAAAATACTTATACACGTATGTTCATGTTATATAATCTATGCAAAGTTAACGTAGTTGATAAACATGCACGTTTATCTATAGACGTCACGGGCAACTCGGTCAAGAATATTGTTAGAAGGTTTGTAGAAGATAGTGCCGAAGTGAATAATATTCTTTCATGTCAGACTGTTGTTTTCGTTAGTTTTACCCATGATGAGTCGCGTGCTGTACAAAAAAACGTGATTTAAGCCAAATTCATGAATTAATTACATCATTTCAGCGCATTTATAATGCCTTTGATGACGTCGTTATGTGTAAAGTTGTAAATTATAACGATATTGCTACATATAAAAATTTAATTTAATTCCATGAAAACAGTAAAGTTTCTTAGTACGTATTAACAAACTTTATTAGGTCGGGCGCGGTCACAATTTCTTTGTGTTTTGAATTTTTCCTTCTTTCTTTATTCATTTATTTTATTCATCTGAAAAATTGTACGAGTTGAAATTGAGCTATCATACGTTGTAAATTGAATATGTCGTTATTAAAACCTCATTTCAAATTCTGTAGATATTAAGTCACTTCATTTATACGTATAAATTCTACATCACATGAAAGTAAAGTTATTAAATGTTTATAGTGTGCATACACATGTACATATAATCCCCGCGATGATTTATTGAAAACGATGTATGGAATATTATTTCTTTCACTCCGCAATCCCCCATTTCATAAAGTATATTAAACACGAGTTAAATTCAATATATTCTTACTGAAAAGAACATATTTCACAGTGAAGTAAAACATTCCTTCACTGCGTTCTGGCATTCGTCTATAATCGACCACTTCGTTTGTTTCCGTCAAACTTCGGATATGTTCAGATCCAGCCATTCCGGACATCTTGACTTAGGAAATTGTTTAAACTAGCAATATTTAGCTTGAAAAGTCGTTTACAAAAAAATGTTGAAGGATAAAAATTTACATCTTATTCAATTACATATATTGTATGTGTTTTAAAGTTATAAATTGATTAATTGACTTATTTTACAAATGGTAAAAATGATCACTTCTTCAAAGATCTGATAAATCGCGAATTATCAAAGAGAAATATTTGTAAATATTATATAATATATATGCGGACTTTTCTGGACATTTTTAAAAAATGATTATTTTATAAAAGTAAAATGGAGAGGATTCTTAAATTTGAGGAATGAAAGAAATAAAACAGTTCTCAATTTGATGAAACATTTGACATGCAACTTTGAAAACTATATCAAAAGAACTGCTACGGTATCTGATATATTTTAAGGTGAAGAAACTTAATTTGTATCAGCTTAAACATTAAATCATACGTGTACATACATGTTTATGTGTATTACAAAATGAAACGCACTTGAAGAAGAATGACGTTACAGTTATGATGAAATCAAGGTAAGAAATATATTACTTTTAAGTCATCATATACATTTTTATTTTATTGTATTGTAAGTATCATATGGAATCGCATATTCAACAAAAGCATTGATTTTATTTCTGTTTAAGATGTAATTCTATATTTCTGGGGTACTTCTATATGTACAGTAATTCTATAGATATGTACAAAGGGGTCATTGACTTCAAACCACTTGACTCTCACCGTTGTAGACTCGAGCCGCGCCAGCGTCATTGAAGTCTTACATGTAAGAAAACTATACAGTTAGCTTACGGAACGTCAGCGATTCTACAAAGGTACAGAGGTAATGGACAGAGGGGCACCTGAAGTCTTCTTCCTACCAGTTAAGCTGGAAAGTCGTTATATGACCTTTACTTTGTTGGTGCCACGTAAAACCCAAAAACTAAATGACTGTACACATATTTAGTATTCAAAGCATAGTTTACCTGAGTTCGGTTGATTTCCACGTGGTTTACGTTAGGTTTTGTTTAATCGAATAATCTATGGTTTGTTTTGTTTCTTTTTCTTTAATTTCAGGTTGATCATGAAACGAAATAATTTTGTTTTGATCGGCATTGTTCTGGTAGTATTTCTCTTGACAACCATATTGTTTGTACCAGAATTTCTAACACATTACAGCTATTCCAACGCTTATGCTGGAAAACATGCATATTTTGGTCCAGTATCCAGCGACCAGGATCAAGAAGACGTAAAGTCAATGCTTCAGCATTTATTGTCTGTATCCACAGTTATACGTGATAACAGATTTGTAGACTCGTCGATATTCTGGATTCAAGAAAAAATTCAATCGGAGAAAGCATTTACCATATCATGGATGAATAAGCCAAATTGGCTGAGTTTGGAAAGTCTCACCCATTTTCTCGGTCGCCGGTGTACATATAAGAACTGCAAAATGACAGAATATAAACAAGACACAAGTTACCCTGATGCACTCGTATTCAACACGAAAAACCAGCTACCTAGTTCGTCTTTATCAGTGTTTAAACTCCGTCCTGGAACTCAAGTGTGGATTTTCTTCCAGATGGAGCCACCGTCGCGAATTACAACGAACTGGTTCCGGCAGGAAAGTTTTAGATATGCTTTTAACTGGTCCTGGAGCTATCGTCTGGATTCGGATATTTTAAGACCAATCGGAACATTAATAATGAACACCGGTTTTTCCAATATAAGCTATAGTGCAATATTACAGAAGAAAACCAAAATAGCGCCTTGGATTGTAAGTCATTTTGGGACACAAACGTTCGTGAAAAGTTCGTCTCTAGTCTTATACGGGAAGGTGTAAAGGTTGATATCTTTGGAAGATGCTCACAGACGGGGCAGCGGGAAAAAGCCGACTATATCATAAATAAGATAAGTCAAGAGTATAAATTTTACCTTGCATTTGAGAACAGCTTTTGCAAAGATAACGTCACCGAAAAGTTTTTCACTTACTACAATCTAGATGTTCTTCTTATTGTGAGAGGAGGGCTCAACTATTCCAACTTTTTTGATAAGTCGTCATTCATCGACACTTCGGACTTTGGTTCCGTTAAGCAGTTAGCGATTTTCTTGAAAGAACTCGGCGGCAATGAAAAGGCTTACTCTCGGTACCTGCTCAATAAAGAGAGGTTCACACTAGGGTTTAATCAATGGGACACTATGCAGTATTCTAGCTGTGCAATGTGTGCCAAACTTAATAATGCTGTTAAATTTCTAAATATATATAAATATATAGAGGCGTTTGTGTCGAACGATACTTGTTCTAGGCCCAATGATTACTATTAAAACTTGCAATAAGATATTTTCCTTTATGTTTATCAATTTTATCCAATACGTACAGCAATTTCTTTTCAATTTCAGCTCGGATGATTTATTATCATTTTTATCATATTTATTTCTCCCCCACCCCCTTTTAAACAAGTCGCATTAGGTAAACAATAAACCCTCCTCATTGTGAAAGTATAAAAGTTTACCAAACCAAACACAACACATATTAGTTAAACACCTTAGTCTATAAAATGCAAACAAAACAAATCCCCAAAACTCAGAAAATGTTAAATCCGCCATTATGCGTCTTTTTTGTACCTAGTAAATTAAATATGAAAAGTTCAATCGCACTGTTTCGGTCTTTTCCGTCATTATTTCGGCAAATTCGGTCAGTTTGGTCTTTTCCGTTGTAGTGTAACGCTCAGATCTGAATAACTCAATATGAACAAGTCAACACAATATCAAGTTTATAAACGTCATATATATGTATTTATTTTATATGAAATACTATTCACTAAGACAACACAATTGCTTAAACAATGTCTTTAACAACTTTACAATTCTTATACAAATACTTAAAACAATAAGAATTAATGCCAATTGCGTATTTAGCATAATTTAACCTTAAGTGAATGAGTCTGTTTTAACATCAAAAACTACACTAAATAATCAAATATTTCGCTCCCCTTATATACTAAAATAATTTACGCCTAAGACTTAATAACTAAATAATTCATAGAGTATATATGCATTTGTGGACAGCTAAACAATTAAATAACCAATTATGTTTGCACGATCTAAAGTACAAAAGGTACAATATCCCGCTTTAGTGATGACAGGCCTATTAATTAGGTAAATTAAGCCTTGTGTTCGTGACAGCTCATTAAATTTAATATATATCCGTCTATGCATACCTATGTATTGTTAACTAATTACCGGCTAATTACCGTTATCCTACACCGTCATAACTTCGGCAAATTATAGCGGAAAATTGTTTAAGTGTATCATCGAGGGTGGGATTTAACATTTTTGTGTATAATATTCTACAAAAGAGCACCTTACTTTTTAAATCAATTATGAATTATGTCATTGTAATTAACTTACAGTCTTGAATTACTTGTAAAATTAAATATATCATGTCTCTGTAATAGGCATGTCTATCATGATTAAAAATTGTCACGGATATAATTGTTCTATCAATGTCTTATTCAATTTTAAAGAAAAAAATATTTACGATACATATGCATCTCATTATTTCGGAGTATTTACGTTACAGGTGACGTTGTTCTATAAACAACACATCGTCAAGTAATCAGATAAAACAATGTTCATGTATAACATGACTAAATTTATCACCAGGTCGGATATACCTATAGATTTAAACTATGAACGATAATCTTTATCACATGATTCATGTGGAACGACATGGAGATTTTGCGAACAGTAATTTTACAGTCACACTTCCAGACTATGTGAAGCACTTCATGAAACGTAGAAAAGAGTTCTTGTCGATCATTGTGGTGCCTCATTAACACAATGATCCAGGTTATAAGAAGACATTCTCGGAGAATCAACAAGCAACATTTTGTCATCGTTAATCGAGAAGCTGTATCAGTACAATGACGCGACTTTTGTATAGCTGGAAACTTGCCTTCTTGAACGATGGTGGACACGGCAAAATAAGTTGACTAAGATTAAATTTAAACGTTTAATGGCATCAGGCCGTCTGGAAATAACATCCGACGCATGGGTCATTCCGGATGAGGCTACGCCGCACTATTTTGCATATTTAGACCATATATGAAATCAATTAGTCTCATCGGGCAATATTTCTGATATACGAGGGATGATAAAAAAAATAACCGGACTTTGTAGATGATGCTTTACCTGTTAAATGCAATTATATAAGAATACACAGAACATATATCGGATTTTATTCCCTGAATAATACAAAAAGACCAACAAGAAATATGAACAAATGACAAAAGTTATGCTGTTATTGGCATGTACATGTAAAGCAATGCGGCGCACGGTATAGCTTAAGAATTGACGTTAACGACGTCACAAGCGTTTTGTCTCTAACGGAGCAGCTTTTTATCCATTCAAGAAGTAGGCTTATACATGTTCCACTTGTTGAATGAGGCGGATCAACTGCCTATATATAATTTTATATAACTGAACAGTTTGTAAAGGGATAAGGGCTGTAAAGGTGAAAAGGTGGGGGTCAAAAATGGGTGAGGGGGGGGGGCGAGAAAATACCTACCGTCAACGACAATCCAACAAGACAGACATCACAACACATGAAAACATCCTAAACAAGTTACAACACAGACATGAAAAACACGTGGAGGAACACAGATGGGTACCGCCTTGTAACGGTCAGTGGTTATTAAACCACTGGGGAGTTTAAACCGGTTTTAGGCGCGCCAAACCTTACTCTTAGCCCCAATGCCCACGTACATTTTGGCAATTGTTTAAGAAGAAAAGTAATAGTCCTTCCGGGGAAAGTGTTAGTATTGAGGATTTTTATACTCATTTTGAACATGTGTCTCAGATGTTAATTCAAAAGAACAATGTATTGATTTTTTGGCACATGTTTTAGACAAAAGTGACTCCAGTACATTTCAAGAGCTTGATTCACCAATTACAATAAATTAAATTACATCTGCTACCAAAGCATTGTCAGCTAATAAAGCCTGTTCTATATTCTATATAAGTATTTTAAAGTATTGATGTATTAGTACGTCCTATTCAGCTGTTATTTAATTATATCTTAGAGCAGGGTAAATTTCCACCTAGTTGGTCAAAGGGGGTTATTATACCACTATAAAAGGAAGGTGACTCAAGTGACTCAAATAATTACAGAGGTATTACCCTTATCAGTTGTTTTGCCAAATTATTTTACTGCTATTTTGAATGATAGATTAAAGAAATGGGGCACGGATTATGATATTCTAACGGATGCGCAATTTGGTTTTAGATCTCATTTCAGCACAGTTGATGCTATTTTTATATTGAATTCACTTGAAAAGCAGATGAAAAATAATTTTTTATGTGTTGTTTTGTAGATTATAAATAGGCAAACGACCTGATTGATAGAAGCAGTATATGGTATAATCTTATTAACTCAGGCGTTGATGGAAAATTGTTTGTTATTTTACGATCAATGTATGACAGTGTCAAGTTATGTGTAAGTCATATGAATTCACTATCAAATTTTTTCGAATGTAACTTTTGCAACGGGTAATAATTTCCCCGATACTATTTTCCATGTTTTTGAATGATAAAGAAATACATCTACAGCAAAGTAGCAGTGCGGCTATTACCCTGGACCAATTATGTATTTATTACTATTTGCAGACGATGCTGTATTGTTTTCTGAAACAAAACAAGGTTTACAAGATTCACTTAATAATAGCAAGTTATTGTAAAAATGGAATCTTAATGTCAATATCGAAAAACTAAAATTGTTATTTTTAAAAAGGGTGGTAGAATAAGTGACTATTTAAATAGACATTTGCTGGAAAAGAAATAGAAATTGTTAGTTCATTCAATTATTTAGGGGTTGTTTTTCTAGTGGGGGTTCGTTAAACAATGCAACGAAAACTTAAGCTAGGAAAGGAATAAAGGCAATGAATTCACTTTTTGATAAAACATGTGGTATGAATGTACCTGTGAATCTAATGTTTAATTTGTTTGATGCTTACGTATTGTTAGTAATGAATTATGGCTGCGAAGTCTGGGGTTTTTTAAAGGCTGAGAATTTAGAGCGGATTCATAAGAAATTATGTAAATGGTTGCTTACTGTAAAACGAACAACAGATACATTATCACTGTATGCAGAACTGGGCAGATTCCAATTGTACATTAATAGATATGTTCGAATTGTTAAATACTTTTTAAAATTGTATGGTTAAAAAATGGAAAACTGTATAATCAGAACTATTGTTAAAGACCAAAGACAAGACATTTTTCATTATACAGCTACTGTTAATTGGTCGTCGAAAGCATGTGTTTTATTAAAAAATGCTGGATTTTATGATGTCTGGGAATTCCAGAGTCAGTTAATATAGATGTATTTATACCAGTGTTTATTAATCGCCTTAGGGAAATTTATATGACTAATTGGCATGCTAAACTAAATTCACACAACCTGCATATTGAAACTGGTCGACATAACAATATTGAAAGAATTCGACGTTATTGTGTAGTTTGCAATTCAAATGATATCGAGGACGAATTCCACTTCGTTTTAGTTTGCCCTTTTTATCATGAAAACAGGAGAAGCTATATTTCTAGATTCTACTATACACGTCCAAGTATGTTTAAATTTTTAGAACTGCTAAAATCAAAATGTAAAAAGACTCTACATAATCTTGCAATGTATTGTATTAAATGCTTTAGACAGATAACTGACCAATTAAATATCTTATAATTCTTTTTTGTTATTATTGTAACAATGTCAATATATTCCTATGAAAGGTATATGTACTCTAATAACATGCTTACTCAGACCACTCTCAACTGTTGAATTTA